AGTCCAACTTAGTGATGAGGTGTGATGGATGATGAATGAAGGTGAGGACCTTAAGCATGTGTATAAAGACTTGGGCAAGCGATAAATGTAAAGAAGACAAGATATACGTGGTTCACCCTTAATGAATGGGCTACGTCCACGGAGAAGTATGTTCTCATTATAATAGTGTATGATTACATTTGTACATGGGGTTGGACCCGAATATAAAGATAACAAGTGAGATGCCCAGGTCAGGGATCTAGAAGAGAGTCCCCGGCCCTAGGGTCTAGCTCTAAGACCCGGATCCTCTTCTAAGTGGAGAGAGGAAGTCCCCTTTTCACATGGATACTATTCCCTATTTATAGAGAGGTGAAAGTGGGAGGTTTGTGTAGATTTCCGATGTGGGACTTTGCACAATCGCTGTGGTGGTGACACGTGTCATGGCATTGATGCTCTTGGTGCTAGTTGCTTTGATGCTGGATATGCTCGGTTGATTATGGTGTAAACACTACTTGTACCCTACTGAAACGTAAGTAGAAGAAGAAAGACTCTGGATATTTTATATAATGCAATTGAATGAAAACACTAAGCATTGAAAGGGCAGAAGTCTTACTTTCCAGTTACTCTCAACGAAGCCCCTTGCTTGAAATAAGGGGAAGATGGATGTAGGTCTTGCAATGAAACCCCCCAGATTTTATTTCAGATGATACCATCAGGGTAAACTCTCACACCCTAAAAAAGCATCCAAATCTCCCCTGGAGTCTGAGGACTGCATGCAATTAATTACCAAAAAGTACTAAAATGAATGTGATGGGAAGGAATATGTCTATTGCAATCTCAGTCACAAAGAGAGATTTATTATAATAAATTAGTGAGGCAGTGTATGAAAGCCAGTGAGGACCTGCCATTTTAACTATAACTTGACCTTTTAACAATTTAACAACCTATCAAAAAAATTGAACAAGACAATATAACTCGGACGGCCGCCTAGCGCCTAGACTCCGCCTAGGCCGATTTTTCGAACAAGAGCAGAAAGCTTATATTTACACTTCAAAGTTCAAACCAACCACCCAATACAGAACAAAAAAATTGAAACGATGCCCCCATCGTAGAACTTCAAGTGTAACAAACTGAGAATCAATTCCCCAAACTCTCAAATGAGTTATAATGCACAATTCAGGGGAAAAAATCATGACGGCAAGGACAACTTAACAGAAAACCCATCTCTAAAATTCACAATTCAAACTAAAGCAGATGAAGACTCATATGATTCTCCTTCAATCCATTCACCCAATTGACATAAACATAAAATGCAGTTATAGAATGATAGAAATTAGCAAACTAAGCATACCCGCATACCCAAATTCAAAAATTTACCAAAAAAGATTGAAACTTTTGGCTATAGCAAGAACCTGATATCTACGTCACGTACCTTAAATTTATCCGCGGTTGATTTCAAAGACGGAGGCTTTCCTAGCTTTCAGTATAAGAGGATGCTAATGAACAGATGGAAACAGATGATTATTCGAATACGGCACCCGCCATGTCTAACCTTCGGCCTTGTCTACCTTCGGCTTTTATTAAAGTACTAAACTTTTACTCAATACACCCAGCCCAAATAATGTTCGTTGGGCCCGAGGATTGGGTTTTGGTTGGCCCATCTATAATTGAAATCGTGAACTACCTCCTTTGTGTTCCACATTCCTATAACTTTATGAAATTAAAATGGTACCTCATAAGAAAGTGTTACTGAGAAAAACTAACATCATCTTCGGACGTTCTAAAAGTTCCCTAAGACCATCTCCAACCCTTGGGGTGGAAACTCAAATTTTGAGTTTAGTCTCCAAATACCATCTCCAACCCATGTATTTTGGGGGGTGGAAATTTGAGAAATCTCAAATCTTAAGTGGAATTCCAGTCCCTTTTTTGCCTGGACTGATAATTTTGTGGGCCCAAAATCTGCTTTTTTTATTATTTTTTTCTGACTGAAGCTCATGTTTTTTTTCTGACTGAAGCCCATGTGCTGCACAATGTTTGCTGGGCCCAGTTTTGGTTACACTGTTTGGGCAGCAACTTTGTGCCAAAAATATGATATTGCTGGTTTGTTTTTTTGTTTTGTTTTTTTGTTTTGTTTTGTTTTATTTTAAATATTCCAACAACTATATTTGTAATAAATAATCATGATTAATTTTAAGCAATCTTAACGGCAAAATTTAATGATTGTCGTTTATTTAAAAATACTTAGATAATTTAAACACACTTACATAATTCAATGAAGAGTTCGAATTATTCCGGGCATACGTATGGTATTGTACTTATTTTTATTTTTTAAGTGAAATTCAATTATGTTTTGGAATTTTATTTTTTTTAGGTTAAAATGTTTAGAAAATTAAATCACGAGTGTTGAAACAAAAATAATGTCAAGAAAAATTAACAAGAAACAAAATTTAGGGGTTAATCATTCTTAAACAATTTAATAAAGTTGCGGACTCAAATTATGAGTCTACAAGGTTGGAGGAAAAAAAATTTTGAATCATGAAAATACATGAATAGTTGTATTTTGGAGGGTGAAAATTTGAGTTTAGCCCCAATATGGTTAGAGATGGTCTAACATCAGTAGAAAAGAGTCAAAATGTGTGGCTAGAAAGTCAAAAGGAAAAACCAAGAAAAGTTTGAGAGCCAATAAGCAGGACAAGGAATTAAGCCCAAGTCCCCCAACCACTGAAGTAGTTTGGAATTGGAATAGCAAAGTTTGAATTGAATAGACTGGGGTCGAAGAGGTCCAAAATAGGGGTGCCCATGACGAGCTCTTCAGGTAGTTGACAGCTGAATGAGTTGATATGCTCATAAAAGCTTCTGACTTGTAAACAGAGCACTAATAAGGCGGTGAAATTGACATTCACATTATCACATATGCCCATGCCTACGTTAACCTACTTGAATTAAATATTAATCGTTAAGTTGATTGTTCATTGTTTCCTTTTCAATGCTCAGGATTATTTTACATGCACAAAAAAATTTTATGAGCGAAGGAATGTGCCAAATGTTCGGTTCTGGTATTAGTTAATGCATTAAATGCTCCTACCAACATATGTACCAAAACCCATTAATTGTTGGATAGAAGATAGCTGTATAGATCATATTCTCTCTATATCATCTTTCTTGCTTCATGTTGGAATTTGGGTTTGTTTCTGATTCAAACTCTCTTGATGGAAAGCAGGAAATAATTTTATTGTGAGACCAAAAGATTCCAGTTAGTTGAAGTCCCTTGCTTGAGGCTCTTTTTGCATGGGAAATTTTTCTTCTTTGTAACCCGTCAGTCAAACTCACGCAGTTCTCATTTCTTCGTTCACATCTTTGTTTCCTCATCTTCCTTCATAAACACAGGCAGCAAGCTCTTCTGGGTTGTTTCTAATATCAGAATTCATTGCTTCAGAACCTCTATTTTTTGAAGGACTAATTGGATCATTTCAAGCTAGCTAAGCTAAGCTAAGCTGAGCTAGCTTGCTAGAAATTAACAATGGCACATGAAACAGAGAAAACAAGTAACTCAGCAGCAGGTCATTCTATGATGGAGATAGAGGCAAGCAAACCCTCAGGGCATGGGGTTGTAGCTGGTGGATTGAGCCCTCTGAGTGAGACTTTGTGGAGGGAGAAGGCCAGTCTTGAAATTGTAGGGGATGTTTCTGCCAGGCTTACTTGGAAGGATCTGACGGTGACGGTGACTCTGAGCAAAGGTGAGACACAGAAGGTGTTGGAGGGTCTAACTGGTTATGCTGAGCCTGGAACCTTCACAGCTCTCATGGGTCCTTCTGGTTCTGGCAAATCAACTTTACTTGACGCTCTCTCTAGTCGCTTGGCGGCCAATGCTTTCCTCTCTGGCACCATCCTTCTCAATGGCCGCAAAAGAAAGCTCTCTTTTGGCACCGCTGTGAGTAATAATCTCTGTTTCTTTTTTTGTTTTTAATTATGTTTTTCTGTGAATTGTGCTCATCCCCATTTTTTTCACTTGATTTTGGGATTGTATGTTTCAAATTAATATTATGTTTGATCAAGCTAGGTAGGCAGGCTATAATTGTACATGTAACATATTGATGTTGTTTGCATGGATGTTTTGCAAATTAATCAGGCCTATGTGACCCAAGATGACAATTTGATTGGAACCTTAACAGTACGAGAAACCATTTCGTATTCAGCTAGATTAAGGCTGCCCGATAAGATGTCTTGGTCAAAAAAGAGAGCGCTGATTGAGAGTACAATCATAGAGATGGGTTTGCAGGATTGCGCAGACACAGTTATTGGAAATTGGCATTTGCGTGGGATCAGTGGGGGAGAGAAGAGAAGGGTCAGCATTGCTCTTGAAATCTTGACGAGGCCTAGACTGCTCTTCCTTGATGAGCCAACCAGTGGACTTGATAGGTATATGTGGTCTTGTTTTCATTCCATCTGGTTCCTTGTCTTTATGTTGTTATTGAAATTGAATGTTCTTGTGAGTTTAACTTCCACTTCTATTAAAAAAGTATGACTTCTAGTTAATTGGTTTCAAGTACCCTGCATTATTCTGTTGTAGGGTTAATTCTTAATGATCATTTGGTTTTTTTTGTGTGGCAGTGCTTCGGCATTTTTCGTGACTCAGACACTACGTGCCCTAGCACGAGACGGGAGGACTGTCATAGCCTCAATTCACCAGCCAAGTAGTGAAGTCTTTGAACTATTTGATCAATTGTACTTGCTTTCTAGTGGCAAAACTGTTTATTTTGGTCAGGCGTCGGATGCATACGAGGCAAGAACCCTTAGTCTTTGCGTTATATACATATAATAGTTGATTTTATGTAAATATAATGGAGCTCTTACGTTCATTGGTTGGTGTTTTCAGTTCTTTGCACAAGCTGGATTTCCCTGCCCGGCTTTGAGGAACCCTTCTGATCATTTTCTTAGATGTGTAAACTCTGACTTCGATAAAGTAAAGGCCACATTGAAAGGGTCCATGAAACTCGGGGTATTTTTAAAACTTTTTCTTTTATATCTCTCTGTTATGTAACTTCAAATGTTATTGTTAACCAATTGATAGTGGTTATACCTTCATACATATCGTCCATCCTGTGATAAAGTAATAATCATACTATTCCTATGAAGGGAAATCCTTAAAACTTAAAAGGAACAAATTTGAGGTCTAACCTCTTTTTCCTTGTGTAATTGGTGGTAAAATTATCGGTTTGGTGTTTTTGCTGTCCTCTTTTTGCACTTTGAAGCAATAATTTTGAACTCTGATAAAATCCAAAACTTTTCTTTTGTCATTATCAGTTTGAGGCAAGTGATGATCCTCTGGAGAAGATTACCACTGCTGAAGCTATAAGAGTTCTTATAGACTCCTTTCGGACTTCTCAATACTCTTATGCAGCTAGAGAAAAAGTTGAGGAGATATCCAAAGTTGTGAGTGTTTATATAAAGTGGGATGTATTAAATAATTCTTCATTTATCCAATTACTTATTGGTAACGGAGTTTAACGACAATATGAATTTTTTTCCCATATGATGCAGAAAGGAACTGTGCTAGATTCTGGAGGAAGTCAGGCTAGTTTCTTGATGCAGACCTTCACGTTGTCCAAGCGTTCATTTATCAACATGTCAAGGGACTTTGGCTATTACTGGCTCAGGCTCGTTATTTACATTGTTGTCACAGTCTGTATTGGAACCATCTATTTGAATGTGGGAACGGGTTACAATTCGATTCTGGTATGTATTGCTTGCTAATTAGTACCATCTATTTGGAAGTTCATTCATGCACCAACACTTTTTCTCTCTGTTTTATTTTATGAAACAGGCGAGGGGTTCATGTGCATCTTTTGTATTTGGTTTTGTCACGTTCATGTCAATCGGTGGGTTTCCTTCATTCGTAGAGGATATGAAGGTATGTTCCATAGTCCCAAGGAACAAATAGCTCTAAATATTTACTTAAAATGATATTTAGTCTAACTTTGTACCACAACTTTCCCAGGTTTTCCAAAGAGAGAGGCTGAATGGCCACTATGGTGTTACTGCATTTGTCATCAGCAACACACTCTCTGCAATGCCATTCCTGATACTGATCACCTTTCTAGCGGGAACAGTTTGTTACTACATGGTCCGTCTCCACCCGGGCTTCAAGCATTATCTATTCTTTGTGCTGTGCCTTTATGCAAGTGTCACTGTAGTTGAGAGTTTGATGATGGCCATAGCCAGTATCGTCCCCAACTTCCTCATGGGCATTATCACAGGGGCTGGAATTCAGGTTTGTATCACAGAAGACTCATCCACTGCTTGATAGTAAATCAGTACTTTAGCCATTTTCATGTCTTGCATATATGTTGATGAATTGTATGGTTTTCTTCACGTCAGGGTATCTTCATGCTAGTCTCTGGGTACTTCAGGCTCCCAAATGACATCCCAAAGCCCGTCTGGCGTTACCCTATGTCATACATCAGCTTCCACTTCTGGGCTTTACAGGTAAAACCCTTAAACAGTTTCTGTTTAAGAATTACTTATCGA